TTTTTACAAAACTATAGTTAAATATTCCACTTTGCTGAACGCCTTTCTCTGACCAATAGGAAAGGTGGAAGTGTGAAAAAAATAGCTTTTTGAGGCATAACGTGATAAAGCATTCAGTATTAGGCCAAGCATCTTCTGGGAGAGTGACTTCTTGGTGGTCAGGCCAATCATGGGCACAAATAGAAACCCAGATTGTCAATTTCTCTTTGAAGGCTGGGCTCACTGGGAAATATATGAAGTATATCCATATTAAAGTTAATTTGGCAAGGTCACAGTCTTTGAAATGCATATTTATTTATGCATGCATCTTGTGAGAGATTTGACCTACAAACATTTCTTTTCATGTGTGAAAATGTTTCTGGAACACTTGCTACAGACCCTTTAACCTCAGCCTTGATGCCAAATTTGTCATTCAGAAAAAATTCAGTTCAAGATCTAAGTGCTATAATTCTTTAAAGGGGTCATATCATACATATTTGACATAAGTCTACTTAGGCTAGTTAGTTTATTTGTGTAAGACAGTCAAATTCTAGTTTATCATTGCCATTTTCACCCTTTGTCTGAAATAAACAGCCTGATTATTTTTTTTTATTTCTTCCCCATTGAGAAATGTCCCCACTGCATGTGAAATTATTAACAATATGTATTGCTTTCTCTGCCGCTGCCTTTGAGAGTTTATTGTTGTCAAATATAGTTTTTTACCTTCCCCTTCTTTTAATAACAGCCTTTGTGAAGACTACGGTATTACATTGTGACTGGTTCACAAAATCAATGCTGAAATATGCCACACAAACTCTTGAAATCAGACTAAAAAAATCAGAGACATTGTTAAAAATAAATGTAATCCATTTTTCATAAGCGTGGACAGTCATGTATTTAATTAATTCTGCATACCGCTGCAAAATTAACTAAGTTTTTGATGGTTAGTTTCAATAAATGCTTTTTGTGGACTGAGGATGAAATATCTGAAGGTTACATTGTTTTCATAGGACATGATCAAGCTTTATTATGCATAAAAGATCAAAGACATTTTGATTACTCATGATATGGTTGCTTTCTAGTCCGCTGTGCCATGGATGTAGAAATTAAACTACTGACAAACCTCTACAGAAATGCAGGCTGTGTTTTACTGTGGTGTGCTTGAATTACAAAGTTGCTTAAATCTTCCCCCATCGTACCCCATTTCTATCTTTTTCAGTGCGGTCATGTATGTAAATATATGTGATTATCTGCACCATTTGCTGCATATGAAGTTATTGTAAATTGAATCTGATGAATATGTATGACAACTACCGTTTTAATGAGGATTTAGCCCTTCATAATGTTTCCTTAGTGACCTTGTTGCTTTATCCAAAGCTTAGCATGACAGAATAATGGATTACAATTTTAAATGGAATATATTGTATTTTTTGGATAAAATTTTATGTTTTTTATGAACACCCCTCTTGTTTTATGTGTAGGTGGAAGGTGCAGCATATGTCGGCTCCTTCATGTGGAAGTCCCGAAGCCTCGGCCTGTGGAATCGTCCTCGTGGAGAAAACATGCTAGATAGTGGCGCTCCATTCTATGATACATACCGTACTTCTGACGGAAAGTATATGGCAGTGGGGACGATTGAGCCTCAGTTCTACCAACAGCTTATTCAAGGTCAGTGCATTACATTTCTTCTTAATATGGTCATGTACTGTCGTCTGAATATGGTGGATGTTCTCATGGTGTGAATTGTGATATGAATGCTTGCTGTCTTTTTCAGGATAGTTGTCAGATGTAATTTTTGTGTTTTTTTGTTTAAAAAAAAAAAAAAAAAAAAAA